AAAATTTCAATTTCTGTATTGATATTAAAAGCTGGGTTCTATTAAAAGAATCAAATATTGTATTGGGTAAGACAGTGCTGTTCAGGAATAAGACACATCAGAAATACAAGACAGTACCAGAAAAGCCATCGTTTCATGTCCCTTCATACTTTAAGCAACCATAACATAATCTTTTTCCATAAACTGATCAGGTGCCTTCAGTGAATTAAATGAACAATCTGCTCTCACTATCTGTAGCAAGATATTGCTCCAGACATGTCATTTCACTGCAGGTTAGAAATCTCCACATAGTTTCCAAACTGAAAAAAAAATAATCTTGGCAAGCATATATCGGTATTGTGCTTTAAACAGCTATCCTCCCCCCAAGATGCTTCCCATATGGGCCCACCCTAAAATTAAATACTACTCTCTCCCAGCCTCTGTTTTGCAAGATAACATAAACAGATTCTTTTAATCTATGGCTTAGGCTCAACTCATGAAATCAACTCAGCAGGTTTTCTTCTCTTCTTTCAATCCAAATCAATCACCTTTGAACACACACAAGATCAAATCTGTATACAAGATTCCAGATGCAGCCCTATCTGCTTTGTACAATGGCATTTCTTAATAATTATAATTCATAACAGCATTTCTTAATCCTTATTAGAGATGTTCCAAAATAGCATTTTGCAATTTTCAATCACACTGATGTCACATATTCATGTGCCAATAACTATATCTACCCCCTCCTCTGAACTAGGAAAAGTGTAGATTATAGCAGAAATTGTTGCTGATCCTGAAGTATACAAACTTGCACTTTTAAACACCTAACTTCTATTACTCCAGCATACAAAAGTATCAGTTGTTCATACATGATACTGCAGTCTTCCTTTCCATCGACAGAGACTCTGGGTCAGTGCCAGAGTTGAATTAGTAGATTCCCACTTTTTGTGCCATGACCTCTAAACGTAATAGTGCAGAAGACTAACATCAAGACAAATTCTCAAAACTTCCACTAGTAACTAATTCCACTCCCACTGAAACCTCCTGGTATCCTTTCCTCAGCCAGCTACCTTTTCACCTTAGAATTTTGTCTTCACAAAAATATCTTCCAGATCAAGTAGTAGTTTCCTATACAGTATCCCATGAAATACTTTGTCAGTTTGAACCAATTCCGTATATTGTATCTGTGCACTGAAGTCCATTTTCTCATCAAAGAAATTAATAAGGTTAATCTTACTTGATTTAGTTTTAGTAAATCCACAGCAGCACAATTTACATAACTCCTTCTTCCATGCACTTTTGCCTCTAACTGTACTTTTCTTCAAAGTTTATTCTACACCCTTATATAAAATTGAAGTTAGAGTAATAGATATGACATTGCTTGGATCTTTCTCATGTTGGAGCAAAGCCACTCGGCTTGTTCTTCTTTAAATTCAGGCTTCTGCTACAAGACTAGACACATGAAAAGCCCTTCCCAAAGGGCTTCATACAATTTTATTAAAAAGTAGTATGATGCAGAATACAATAAAATTAGCAGTGTTTGTAGATTTTTGTTCAGACTCCACTGGTTATGATGGGCCTATGCATTTTAGGAGATAAACCCCACAAGACTCCCCACCACCCTTTGTATATACCACATTAACAACCAGTCCTAAATTATGAATATAACGAAACGTGGTCAAGGAATAAAAGCAAGCATTTTCTAGAGAATTCTATAGGTAAGATCAAAAGGAATTTTGAAATTACATACAGAAGACACCAAGTGAGAAAATCCTCTTTAGGTGAAGAGAGCCAGGGAGTCAGAGGTTACCAAATATTCCAGGACCACTGCAAGATGACCAAAACACAGACAAACACACAAAAATACTTACCACCTCTCTAATACCACTCGCCATGAACTTCCGTTTGTTGATTATCTTTACCGCAACTTTGTTACAAGTGCTCTTCTCAAATGCCAGTTTGACTTCTCCACAGGCACCACTAACATCAAAACACAGCTATGTTAATGCGTACAAATACCTTTCAAAAATCTGCATAAGTATAGACAAATGAAATGAAAGCATTTGATTACACACAATTTGAGGCTGCCGCTTTCTGACTTTCTGAATATGGCATGTTGTCAAAACTTTCTCAGAAAGCATTCAACAGTTAGGAAGTCTATTTAAATAGCAACTGATGTCAAGGGCCACCCATTCAAAAATGCAGGACTAAATATGTAGAGCGACTAATCTGTTTGTACAAAGGGTACCAGTGAATATCAAGGACAAGCTCTGTCAGCATTTCCATCACACAAATGCATTTAATAGACGAGAACTTAGTGAAGAGCTCTCTCAACACAGGACTGCACAATTCTGAAGAATAGATACGACAATACTTTTATTTTTACTAAGTAGCCATTATATTGCAGAAATAAATCCTTGTATTTTGCACTCGGATTTGCTTCCATTTAAGCATTCTCCTCCAAATTCTTCACTGACCATCTTTTTCCAAGAGATAAATAAAGCCTCCACTTAAGATAGACTCTCTCCTTTTTCCTGAAAACAGTTCCTTCCCTTTTTGTCCAAAGGCCTCAACAATGATGTTGTAGAAAGCTATGTTCTGACATAAAGCTCTTCCTTCTACTTCCAATAACTGAGTAAACTGATATATAAAATTTAAGAACTTGTTAAGAATCTACAGAGTTTATTCTCTTCTAGAGAAAAAAAGCGGGTTTCACAATTAATGGTAGGTTACAAAACCCTAGCCAATTATAGGAATAAAGCCAAAATTCCCATTTAAGCTGTTGTAAAGAACAGGTTTTCTCAGGTGTTATCATTCTTCTTTTTTTTTTTTTTTTTTTGAATCAGCAGCTCAATTAACACTGGTAATGATTCCAGCACAAAGTACTAAAATCAGTAAAAAAATTAAAGCTTAAGACTGCAGAAAGAAGGATGCTTACCTTCCCAAAGTCTTTGACATTATATATTTCTCTCTGAATTCTCTAGGAAACACCAGCTGATCATCCACCATAAGATCAGAAAATACAAACACTAGGAAGATAAATGGAGGTAATTTTCCTGTTATTAACCTTACAATTTTGTTATAATGAACAACTATGCTTCCTGAGCTTTTATAGTCAACAACATAACTAAGAAAATGCTGCCTGCTAGGATAAAACCATAAACATATTAAAAAGTGAATTGATGCTATCAATGACATTGGCTATGGGTTAGCAAGGTGATCTTATTACTGAAAACTGTCATCTTTGGTATTAACTTCACAACAGAGTTTAATCAACTAACAGTACATTTAAGGACAAAACAGGCAAGAATTTCAATGTCACAGCAGGGAACAAAGAGAAGTGATAATCAGGAAGACAGCACCTTAGTGGAAAAGCAAAGGCAAAGGAACAAACCCCCAACCTTCCTAATTTTTAAGAGCATTTTTTAATTATTATGCAGCATCTGGTAAGTACCTGGGGTTTTTTTCAACTTCCCTTGAATAGTTTCCCCGTTCCCACCAACACATACACGGATACTGAAGCACAAAAGCATTTCAAAAATAGGAAAACAACTGTAAAGGTTTATACCCCAGTAAGGTGGTTCCTGATGTAGTTTCTTTTATATTTTCTATTTTTTCCTAGGTTTGAGGTGGGTACAGATAAATTTTATGCGAGTACTAAAACATCAATTCATGACTGTATTTTAATAGCACTCACGAAGAAGCTCAGCTTGCAAGAAAGATACTCAAATTATTGCAGAAAAAACCTCTTGGTCAACACATGAAGAACCTACTTATGTTATAGTACGTTTTACCCTTATTAGTCTGTATAGACAGTGCAATTTCAGAGTTGTGAGTCAGTGGAAGCCTCTTCCCTTTTCCAATGAGCTCTCTATTCACAAAGGTTCCATTTGCACTGTGGTCTTCAATGTAGGCAACATAAGAATTTTTTGGACCCATTTCCTCAAAGAGAAAAAAAAATGGTAAAAGATAAGCACAAGGGGGAAAATTACTCTACTGTAAAGACCTGACAGACTACAAAAAAAATACTATTGTTGGCTCAGGAAACCAGACTACTGGGTTTATTTCATAAAGTGAGTTAATGGAGCATTACCAAGAGTCTTGTTAAAGGAGTCAACATTGAAGGTTCTTAAACTTTGATTTCTTTAGGATCCGCGCCTGCCAAAGTCAGTATTTTTCAATTATGCCAAAACAGAAAGAGACAGTCAACCTTTTTAGCACCTACCCTGAAAATTCGGAAATGCTTCTTGCTATAGTTTTGGTAGAAGCCAGTCTCAGACAATCCTAGCTTAGAAAAACTATAATCACAGCTTTTGTCTCTTCCAAACCAGTATTCATCATTCACGCAGTCTGTAGAGGAGAGGTAAGTAAAGCAAAGAGAGAACACAAAAGTGCAGGAAGTTATTAACTACGGCACTACAGAATGATACATAGGATAACAAAGACAAGATTCTTTCTATACAATCAAGTTTATTTGTCTTAATTCAGACAAAGCACCAAGCACTATCAACACCTTGTACAGTATTTTAATAATTGTATCCTCTTTAGTAATAGTAGGGTTTTCAATTCCTCTAAATCTCCTCCAAGTCTACAGAAGCTGTGTACCTGGACACTCAATATAAACACTGGGATGTGGTATGAAATACAACATTACTGCAAAAGTGGCAAGCTTGTACTTAATTTGAAAAAGACACTGCTATCTACCAAGCTGCTCAAAACTTTCTCATGTACTAGAAATGAACCAAGAGGCTTATTACAGTATGCACATACCACAATTGCTGAAACCTTTTCCAAGTGCAAAGAGTCGACCCCAAGGCTGAGGAACAAGCTCTTCAGATTCCTGGTCCTCAGGGATCGACGGAAGCTCCTGAGTGGGAACAGTGTCCAAAGAACTGAGAGTCCCAGAACTTGAGGAAGACTGACTTGTACTCTGTGACCCACTGGAAGAGGAACTGGTACCAGTCTGTGACTGTTGGGCACCTTGAGACGGCTGCGCTTCACTTCCAGTCTCTCGAGACATGTTGGCTTCAAAGAGAGTATTTTTTAAAAGTTAACTACAGCAAAGCAAAATTGGCAAACATTCACACACCATACTACTAATATGCAAGTCTCTTCTCAGTCTTCAAATAAGTAAAACTTTCAACCAAATTGTGCATGTGTGGATTATAGGTAAATCCCAAGAATTTTGCAAATCATGATGTTTTTCCTTTCAAAAAAGAAAGTGTTGCTCCCTCTACTGGTTCTAAAACTACAGTTAAATCTTACTCCCAGATTTTTACTTGAGTTCTTCAAGGCTCACACTTTATTTCACAAACATGTGTGCAGCACTCTCTGACAAAGCATCCACACACAAAGCAGGAACCATTGCACCTCCCCAAACACAAATGGGAAAACTGAAAAAGAAAAAATAAGAACTATAAAACAAAGCACATTTTCTTGATGCTGAAAACACCCAACAGGTTTATCACACAGCAAGCCAATTCTGTGTTTTGGCTGACTATTCTTTTAATATAAGTTGCAACTCACTAATTTTCACATCTCTCTTCCACGCAGGTTCTATTCAGCAATTTTATTTACAAAAAAGCCACAGGTATACACAATTAACACACAGAACTCTGCCAGACTCGAAGATACACGCCACATCCCTAGCAGTTGCTCTCAACGACAGCAGCAAGGCAACAAAGGGCGTCCCCCTGCCCTGTCAGGACAGGGCAATTCACAGCAGCATCGCACTTTCCCCCCGCTTAAGAGGGAACAATCCACCGGCCAACTCATCTTTAGCTGGCTTTCTCCAGCAGCACCCGTGCCCATCGTGCCGGGGGGCCCTGAGCCTTCCCCGGGTGGTCGCCATCCTTTGTGGCCACCGGCACCCACCTGCCCGCGGGCTGCCG